TAATGAGCTGTGCTGTCAGGGGTGTGGCCCAATATGCTAATGAGTTCCTGTTGTTGGGTGTGGCCTATTATGCTAATGAGTTCCTGCTGGGCTTTTTCTACAAAAAGAGCCCTGACTGGCACCATTTGAGTAAAAGAGGAGGGCAGGATACCTGCGCCATGGGAACAGCAGATTTCGCAGTCAATGACATTCTTGCCTTATTCCCTTGGGGAAGTGTTCCCATGTTGCCCCCAGGAAGCAGCTGCCATCGTCCCTTGGGATCGTCTCACATCTGGAGAACTGCCTCTGGCAACTGCTGAGGACTGGATGCGTGGCAACCTACAGGCGTTTAGGGACAGAAGTTGCACTTTAGGAAACGAAAGCCAGGGCCAGCAGGAGGCTGTGGTCAAAGCATCTGACTAGCATCGAGAGAAGCCAGGTTCGAGTCACCACTCCGCCCCAGAAGTCTCACTGAGGGACCTCGGGCCAGCCACGCCTTCTTCAGCCTAACCTATCTCAGAAGGTGGTGGTTGTGAGAGTAAAACTGAGTACGGGAGAAAGATGTAATCTGAGAAAGGGGGGGGGGATAAATACCTATATAGATGGATAGAAACCTTTGGTATCCAACAAGATTCAAGCACCTACAGCTCTACTGATTTCATTTCCCCCCTCCCCCCCATTTCTAAAGCCTTTTTTCCGGTTGGAAGGCTGGCTATTCTTTCCATGCGTCAAGAATCTAAGGATCACTTCCATGCGTTATTAGGTGTGTGCACTTTAAGCATGCTTCTTAAAATCAAGGAGAGGAGACTGGGCTTATACCCCACCTTTCACTACCCGAAGGAGTCTCCTTTCCCTTCCCCCTACCCACAACACAAACCCTGTGAGGTAGGTAGGGCTGAGAGAGCCCTTCCGAGAACTGCCCTTGAGAGAACAGCTGAGAGAACTTGTGACTGAGCCAAGGTCGCACCAGCAGCTGCATGTGGAGGAGTGGGGGATCAAACCCGATTCTCTCAGATTAGAGTCTGTACTTCTAACCACTACCCCAACGTGGCCCAGTGAATGTAGGAACACATGTGCCAGGTAGGAACGCTTGCTAATGAAGTGGTGAGTGGCTACAGCTCTCTGTACACCAGAGATGATGATGATATTGGATTTATACCGCGCCCTTCCCTACCCAAAGGCATCTCAGAGCGGCTTACGAACTCCTTTCCCTTCCCCTCCCCACAACAGACACCCTGGGAGGTAGGCCGGGCTGAGAGAGCTCTTGACAGAAACTGCTCTTTTTCAAGAACAGCTCTTATCAGAACTATGGTTAGCCCAAGGTCATCCAGCAGCTGCCAGTGGAGGAGCGGGGAATCAAACCTGGTTCTCCCAGATTAGAGTCCGCGCACTTAACCACGACACCAACCAGTCAGTGACAAAAGCTGATCTGCCTCACTGTAATGGGTGAAGAGATCCTAAACTGACCTGTGCATCTTTTGAGAACAGTCTATAAAACTGCACCTTTAAAAGCAAAAGATGAATGACAAGTTATGCGTTGTTTTTTTAAAAAAGTTTTAAGTTACATTAAATTTAAAAACATTCTGCAGAAGGATAATAAAACAGTTTTTGAAGAAATAAGTTACTTTTATTTAACAGGTTCAAAAGAATCATGAAGCTCCAGCTTTGGACCAGCCGCATTCCACATGGAGATGTCCCATTCCTTTCCCCGCCTGCCAATATTAGGTATATTAGACCGATGTGCCATGGAAAGAGAGGAGGATATCTACAGCGTCCCATTGCAGTCTTCACATTTCATGGCGCGCACGATGCTGTTGGCAGTTTCCAACTCTCTCATCGGCCTCCTTGCCGTGGATTATTTTATTTTTTTAAATTACTTTTTTTTTTAACTGAAATAATTCAATACACGTTTCGACCAGGACAACTGGGCTTGAACTTTTTGTTGCCTGTGGTTCATTCGGAGGGATTTTTCTTAAAAGTTACAGTTCAGCCTACAAAATGACGCTGGTCGTGGGACGGAAATTAAACTCTGATTCCCAAATGCTGTCGAGGGCTTTCGTGGCCGGAGTTCATTAGTTGCTGTAGATTTTCCGGGATGAGGCCATGGCCACACATCCCGGAAAACCTACAGCAACAAATAAATTCCCAAATGCCCTGGATATTTCTAATTCTACATTTTAGTATTTTAAAAAACCCTAATTTTTATTTTTAAAACATCCATTCGTTCCCCCCCCCAAAAAAAAAACCATTTGGCAAAAGGAAAACAATTTACCTAGGGAAACTTACTGCCAGATGAAAGCTTCAGTTGATTTTATGAATGGTGGAGTCAAATAGGCCACAGTAACTTTTAAACAACAAAAAAATTATCTCTCACACACACGCACAAGCATTTTTCTGCACCTGCTGGAGCCAGACATTTATGTTCAAAAGCAAACCATCGTTAAACCAAGTATTTCTGCTCCTTGGCATGGTGCAAAAATGAGTATGGTCGGCCCCCTTAAGAGAAGGGGGATGGCCTACCTGTGGGCTCCACAGGCTGAACCTCCCCCCCCTTAAAAATCCAAAGATGCAATCACACAAAACAACCTAGTTTCTCTGCTACTTAAGACAGCAATGCTTTATGTAATGCAATTTTATAATTACACAGTAATTATAAATCGTGTAGTACCAAACTGATGGCAAAAACCCATTTTGTCGAAAAGGCCTCAACATTGCAAAAGGAAGAGTCTGTTTTAAAAAAAAAAAAAAAAGCAGGGTGTTGATGACCCCCCAACCTATGACTTCTGCACAGGGATAGAGTTAAGTATGTTTCATTTAAAGAGGGGGGGGGGGGAATATACCATGAACACTTAGCACACACACACACACACACAAAATACACAGCATACATTAACGAATCATTCTTGGAAAAGCTGTACCCAAAATTTCCTCAAGACAGAAACCGGCGCGCGCACACTTTGCAAAGTTTTCGTAATTCAAGTCTCTGCCAATATTTACACGAGAGAAAAGAAAGGGGAGGGGGGGAGACTGAAAGCAGGGAAGCAAAATCTCTGACTGCCACTCCCAGCAGCTGGAGAAGAGATTCCCAAGGTTATCCAGTGGTGACCTTGAATTAATGCAACTCTAAGCTTTATCTAAAGGGAGGCATCATTCTGACCAGTTCGTTTTTTTTTAAGTATTAAGCAGTTTAATACCAGAGGGATTTTTTTCCTTCCCTAAAATTATTCTACCACGTGTATAAAAGTGCTTTTCTAATTTCAAGGATAAATGAGAATCAGGCATTGGCGCACCGTGGAGTAGACGGAACCTGAACGTCTCGTTCTTAATGACTCGATTGGATTTTTAAATGCCTCGGGGGGGGGGGTGGATTCGTCTTTGCTCGTGGAGTTAAATGACATTGTAGCCTAAAGGCATTTCAAGTGCTGCTTTCGTACAAAAACACACACACACACACAAATAAGACCATGCTTTGGAGTGAGTGACCAGATTCTGTACGGTACCGATGCCAGTACAGGCAACTTAAGAATTCAGAGACCCGGTACAGACCTAACAGTTCCTGATCTCTGAACCGTAGGGATCCCTGGGGCTTCCTTCTCCTCTCCCTTTACAGCGTCACATTTATACCAGGGTTAACACCATGGATAGCTTTGAGCGGGATTTACAAACTAATCCTAATTCTGCTTTCACCCTTTGAAGGGAAACTAGAGATGATTCGACATTCATCTTGGAGCAGCTGTAATGGTGCTCGTGATAATGATGGAAACAGGAGGAGGAATCCATGCCGGAGACCACGAGGGGCGGTTCCCGTTTCTTTACGGTTCAAAGAAATGCTTCTCTCTCAACCGAGCCAAAGAGATGCAGGCTTTTAAAGTCCCAGCGAGCTCAACTAATGGGTCACGCGCATTCTTAACTCTCCCCCATTGAAGTAAGCTGGACTTCAAAGTGCTCCGCCCATTTGGCTGGATTGTGCTCGATATGATCTGTGCTCGCTTGGGTGAAATGGACCCCCTTCCGCTCTGACCCGCGGGAGCTCCAGTCAAGCAGGGTCTCCAACATCGGCAACAGCCCTACCTGTTCATCCACTGCTGATATGAACAGAGAAGCTGCTGCTGCCGCCACGAAGCAGCCCCATATGCACTAGAGCTCCCCTGAAGCTCTGGGTCTGGGGGGGGGGGGCGCGTTGCCCTTTGGCAACCACTGTAATCTGCATTTTGTTTGATTAAAAAAAAATTGTGTCGCAGGTAAATGGCATCACCCACTTACAGCAGTGCTGCTGGCGTCATTAAGGTTTCTATGCTGTGGCTCAGCCCAGTAACTGCGGAACAGATCTGTATGCTGCGCCTCCTTATTCCAGTCCAGCTATCAAAACCCTTCATTGGCTCCAACAGAGAGGTTTATGTTGTGTAATTAAGATTACACATTCAGTATCGTATTCAAGTTTTTAACTTTTCAGTAGGACTTAAACTGGGGGGGCGGGGGGGGGAGAAGACGAGGCTTTGAACAAAGAGGAGCTCGACGATACTGCAAAACTTTATTGGGCAACTCTGAAGAGCCGGTCGTGAGAAGAGTGTGACCTCACGTTTCAGATGAAACCGGCTAGTCCTCCTTTGGCGACCGCCAACTCCGCTAGGAGTGGCAAACTTTTCTGTGGCTCTGTCTCTTCTGAGGCAAAATCACTGGATGTATGTCTGGGGGGGGGGGACAGACACAGTGGAGTTAGATAAACGAACGTGGAGATACCAACCAGCCCCGAGAACTGGAGGACCATTGGGGGAAGGGGGAAATGTCCCCAGTTCCCTGAAAAATTCCCCCAGCCCAACCCTAGAACAACACCACACAATTATATTGCACAGCAGACCAAGGTATCCCCATGGAGGCTTTGGGGGTGGGGGGCTTCACTAGTCCTGTGCACCACATTGTCTTGGCGGCTGTAGGCACCCCTGTTCGAGCCAAGCTCCCTCCCGTACTGCTCGTGCAGTAAAGAACAACGGTGACTGGGATGCTGGCAGCCGTGGGGAGCCACTGAAAAGAAAGTGGAGGGCGTGGGGGGGGGGGGCCACACCAGCAAATAAGAGGCAGAAACGTAAGTTCTACGGGATCCAGCTACCGGAGGTCAGGGCCCCCAGGGGGCGATTCTGCATTTAACGTTAGGCACCCAGTGTTTCTGACTATACTATTAAAACGGGGGCACTGTTACGTGCACAGTGTTATCTGCGCTGTGTTTTCAACCAGTGTTCGTCATGGATACAATTAGACTTCACTCAGGCACCTGTTTAGCCTGATACGGGGAGGAAGGGAAGAAGACAGGCTTTTGTCGAAGCATTTCTAAATTTGCTTTAAAAAAGAAAAAAGCGGGGAAACCCGCTCGGCCGCTCGCTTTGACAGCACTGGCCCTAAGAAACCAAGATCCTCAACCTCGTCACTCTCGGAGGGTGTTTTCCATCAGCAGAGTCTTTGCAGCTGGCCCAGAAGTATGTTATTTCACAAGAGCTGTCTAAAAAAAAAAACCCAACAACAAAATTTAAAAAAAAAAAAAACACCAACTGGGATGAGATACTCATCTGAGGAATTCTTACGCCCCAGAGTTTGCTCGGTGAAGAGACGTGCTCGACGCGGAACCAGAAATCTCAAAAGTAATGACCACCCGACACATTTTAAGGTTTATGGGAATGATGAGGGTCCTCCATTAAAAAAAAAAAGAAGTCCACACTGCTGGAGTTTGTTTGTTTTTTAAATAAGCCAGGCTGGCCCGGGCTAGGAGAGAAGCCCGAGGCGGCCGCAGTCTGATATGGTCCAAGGTAGATCCTTAAAAGGTTGGTCTCAACCCTCAGTCTTCGCTTTGTGAGGATTGGTCTTCAGTCCTGTTCAGTTCAGTCCAGCCGGCGGAAATCGACTGTGCAATTTGTCCTCATTATTTTTATTTGTACAAGGCTATGTACATTCCAGAAGGTTCGTTTAGCACTACACTGTCGTACTTTTTATCCCGGCAATCTGAGGGCGTGCAAATTCCACAAAGTCGTCGATAAGAACCGGCCAGGCCCCTGAAAGGAGGAGAAAGGCAGACAAGTTTAGCACGCCTCAGTCAACGTTTCACAAAATGGAGAACTCGGAACCTTCCCGCCAGGAGGAGAACATCAGAAAAGAGGACTTATAGAGCACGCCCCACATGCTTTAGGGACGTGTAATCTCAGTAATACTCATAACAGTCCCGCAAGGGAGGCCGGGGCAAACAGTCTACAAGTTTAAAACATTCCCCAATAAAAGCAGAAGGCGATAACCTTAACACCCACCTCATACACACATATTAAGGGGGTCAGCAGCTTGCCAAAGGCTAGCAAGCAACTCAGGGAAGGGGATTGTACTTGGGAAGTTAAGAACAAGAACATAAGAAGAGCCCTGCATCAGACCGATAGTCCAACTAGTCCAGCAGCCCGTCTCACACAGTGGCCAACCAGTTCCTCTTAATGACCAACAACAGGGCAGAGAGGCCGAGGCCTTCCCCTGAGGTTGCCTCCTGGCTCTGGGATTCAAAGGATTCATGCCTCTGAATGTGGAGCTTCCCCTCAGTCACCATGGCTAGTGGCCACTGATAGACTTCTCCTCCATTAATCTATCGTGGAGTTTCCTGCTCACACTCTCTCCTTGCCATGCAGACAGAGTCAGAGGGTAGCCGAGTTCGTCTGCAGTAGAAGAGCTAAATTCGAGTCCAGCAGCACCTCAGAGACCAACAAGAGTTTCAGGGTACGAGCTTCCAAAACAGCAAAAAGCCCAGGAGCACCTTTAAGACTAACACACTTTATTGTAGTGTAAGCTTTCGAGAAACACAGCTCTCTTGCATCTGACGAAGAGAGCTGTGTTTCTCGAAGGCTTATGCTACAATTCAGTTTGTTAGTCTTAAAGGTGCTACTGGGATTATCAGTATTTTGCAGCAACAGACATAAGAACATAAGAGATGCCAATGTTGGATCAGGCCAAAGGCCCATCCAGTCCAACACTCTGTATCACACAGTGGCCAGAAATACCAGGTGCCATCAGGAGGTCCACCAGTGGGGCCAGGACATCAGAAGCCCTCCCACTGTTGACCCCCCTAAGCACCAAGATGACAGAGCCCCTATCTATACCTTGTGGCTAATAGCCACTGATGGATCTCTGCTCCATATGCTTAAGACTAACATGGCTGACTCCTCTGGGGGTATAAATGTTCAAGAGTTAAAGCTCCCTTTGTCCATCTGACTCTCAAGAGCTCCTACCATGAAAATCGTGCTGGTCTCTAAAGATGCTACTGGACACGAATCTCGCCATTCTCTTTGCCGTTCAGTACACCAGTTCAGTTCAGTTTTTATTGTAATTAGACACTGGACGTTACAAGGTTACAAAACTCTCAGCAATAAAAATACAGATTATGAACAAGGTATAAGCTAATATAAAAATATACAAAAGTACCGAAAGTCAGTAACAAAATGAGACTAATTTAATACAGTAACCTAAATAATCCCCGTACCCGTTGCCACCTCGAAACGTATAGTCTTTGCAGCAAGGGCAAATGACGAAACTTTGTAAGAAACATATGAATCAATGTCAGATAACAAAAATGTGATTTGATCCTCAACTAGGTATACACTAAGACCAGATAAAACACCTGCTAAAAATATAGCCCTCGGACTGGAGTGCAGTGGGCAAAAGAGGATATAATGAGGCCAGTCCTCGAGTACATGGGTGTCACAAATACATAGATGATGGGCCAATGGAGTCTGATTATCTAAATAATCCAAATTAAATAAATAAATAATCCAAATAATCCAAATTCACCCAAAGATTAACACATGGAATTCACTGCCACAGGAAGTGATGGCGGCTACAAGCATGGACGGCTTCAAAAGGGAATTAGATAAGCATATGGAGCAGAGGTCCATCAGTGGCTATTAGCCACAAGGTATAGCTAGGGACTCTGGGGCAAGTGATGCTCTGTCTTCTTGGTGCTTGGGGGGGGCAACAGTGGGAGGGCTTCTAATCTCCTGGCCCCACTGGTGGACCTCCCGATGGCACCTGGTATTTCTGGCCACTGTGTGACACAGAGTGTTGGACTAGATGGGCCTTTGGCCTGATCCAACATTGGCGTCTCTTATGTTCTCTTATGTTCTTATGATTAAAGCGGCCCTCCAAAATTACCATCGGCATTGACTGAAACCGTAGGGAAGGAAAGGACGCTCCAAGTACGTATTTGGAGATGTTAGCTAGGTATGGAGTTCAAGTATGGTCCGATTTAATTAGTTTGTACCATGGTGCTGCTTTTGATTTTAATATCAAAGAACAGTCTAGCCGGGCGTCAAAGTCATAAATCCAGTTTCTAAGTTGGGATTTATCAACCGATGTTCCCAAAAGATCGTCGGGGATGGCGTATCTTGAACGAATGTTGTTACGAAAATCATGGCGCTGCGAATCTTTGGCTAACCGCGGGTTAAAGGGCTGGTGACTGGGGGAGTTTGTGAGTTTCCCGTTCTTTTCCAGTATCTAATAACCATAAGGTGTGTCCGAGCCTTAAAAGAAGGGAGACCCCTTTCAGCTCTCACCCCTCGTTACGTCTGAGCCCATCGAAAGGAACAGACACACACCCCCAGTCGCTCAGTGTTCCAAGCCATCGTATTTCTTAGCCCACCCTTAGTCCGAAAAGCTCCGGCCTGCGTATGGGTTTCTCCCCTCCTCCTGCACTGATCCTCACAAAAGCCCTGCGAGGGAGGAGAGGCAGAGAGGGGGTGGCCGGTCTGCAGCCAGCCAGCGAGTTTTATGGCTGAACGGGGACTCGAATGCAGATCTCCCAGTCCCGATTCAACAAACACGACCCCTTCCCTGTCCCACTGAGGCAAAACTTTCTACGATGTTTCGGTCGGTTTGTGCCGTTTCCTACGATAACAAATGTTTTGTCGGACTCCGCGGGTTGGGGACTGGAGCCCAGGAGGCGCTCTTCTTCCAGCTTCTTCTCCCATGGACCTAGGAGCAATGCCCCAGCAAAGGAGAGGAGGGACAGAACTCCTTCGCCTGGGGTCCCTCTCTTGCTGGCCTTTGCAGGCCCCCTGGCTTTGAGGACAAGACCTGGCCTCCTTCCTCCACGGCTGTCTCCGGGCAGGACTTCTTCCCTGGGCTCCCAATGCCTCCCAGGCCCCTTCAGGGACTGGCCTCCTGGCCAATGGGCTGTCACCCCTCTGCCTTCTCCGGCCGGCCGTTTCCCCTCCTCCAGCTCTCTAAAAGCCTCTCCTCTTCTTCAGGCCGAGGGCCCGGCCCATAAGGACATAAGAGAAGCCAATGTTGGATCAGGCCAATGGCCCCTCCAGTCCAACACTCTGTGTCACACAGTGGCCAGAAATACCAGGTGCCATCAGGAGGTCCGCCAGTGGGGCCAGGACATAAGAACATAAGAGAGAAGCCAATGTTGGATCAGGCCAGTGGCCCCTCCAGTCCAACACTCCGGTCACAAAGTGGCCAAAAATACCAGGTGCCATCAGGAGGAGGAGGAGGAGATTGGATTGGTACCCCGCCCTTCACTACCCAAAGGTGTCCCAGAGCAGTTTACAAACTCCTTTCCCTTCCCCTCCCCACAACAGACACCCTGTGAGGTAGGTGGGCCTGAGAGAGCTCTTGACAGAAACTGCTCTTTTTTCAAGGACAGTTCTGACAGAGCTAAGGCTTGCCCAAGGTCATCCAGCCAGGTGCAAGTGGAGGAGTGGGGAATCAACCCCGGCTCTCCCAGATTAGAGTCCGTGTACTTAACCACTACACCAAACTGGAGTGGAGCCAGGACATCTCCCTTATAAATAAAAGCCGAATGGTGGTGGCACTACTCTAGAACATTCCACACGCTCCAAAATCAGTTCGCTCTCTGATCTGTCATTCAGAGGGTCTCCCTATCCACTGGCTGCTTGCCTGAGTCCTGCCTCCAACATTCTAAACATTTTGCTGTTCCTCTTCCCCCCATAGCCAGTCAGAACACAAAGGTTATTTGCATATGCAGCCTCATTGGCCTTTTCCTCGGAACACAGAGGTCGTTTGCATATGCGACTTGATTGGCTTTTGCCTCTAACATTCTAAACAGTTTGCTCTTCTGAGGTAAAATGTGTCCAAT